GTAGAAAAGAGGGTGACAAAAAAACAAACAAGTAGGCAAATGTAAGTTATCGTCCATTTAAATTTATCGTACACGTCATTGATTTATTGCTTATCGTGACAGGCCTAAGTGGGTGATGTGCATTCCTTCAAAGAATGCAAGGCCTTAATTTGTTAAAATGTCTGTGACATCAATTTTTTGTAATACAGATGAATGCATTTTTGGAAAGATAACATTGATAACATGTTGCAAAACAAATTTCACGTCGCTGAGATGAACAGTTGTTGAGATATTTACATGTGAAGAAACAGGAAGTGACATCAAAGGGGAACTCTTTAATAAAATAAACGCTCAGGTTTTTGTGTATTAAAACATTATTTGAACTTGAACTCTTCTTCATCTCTCTTTGCTAGAAACTCAAAATAATCTAAAGAAACATCAGATTCTTCTCCACAGTCAATGTTGTTAGCTTTTGTTACAATGCTCTGTTCACGTGTAGACATTCCCCTTTGACATCACTTCCTGTTTCTTCACATGCAAATATCTCAACAACTGTTCATCTCAGCGACGTGAAATTTGTTYTGCAACATGTTATCAATGTTATCTTTCCAAAAATGCATTCATMTGTATTACAAAAATCTGATGTCACAGGCCCTTTAAGTTTAAAACTGACTGCTAAGAATGYTTCTACTATAGTTAGATATGGATAAAAAATAATTGGTCTATTAGCAATATTTGACTAATTCAACCAAAAATACTTTGATTCATGAGTKTCTGCCAGTTTGTTTTTATTTTTTGTCATTTGTGTTTATTATGAAATTGGTCTTAAATTTAATTTCACTTGGCATTAAAAAGTCTTAAAGTCTTAAATTTAACTTGCTTTAACCTGTAGGAACCCTGTTCAAACAATGGAAGTCATAATGGCCACTAACAGTACTTTGTGTGATTGTATTTAGTTGTATATTAATTAACATTTGTGTGCTTTCCTTCAAGGGTATTCTCTGTGTCTGGGTAAGTCCTATTACTTCYGGTTCAACCATCCTGAAGAGGCCAACCGAATGAAAAACATGCTTCCCCAAAAGAGCCCAGTGTCAGCTTTAGCCTACAATACAGGTAAATAAACAGAGATTTGGTGCTAAAGTGAAAAAAAGTTTCTGACTCTGAAATGTTTTTGTTTTCCTAGCACTTTCACCTTTTTGTARCATTTTCACTATTTCCACATGTTCTAGTCCTTTCTTTGCTTTTCTGCTTCACGTTTACACCAATCCTACCTTTTATCATCTAAATGTCTTTTTCTTTCTAAACACTAACTTAGTTTGAATGAGTGAGTGAGACCTGGATGTTTGTTTACAGCTCAATGACCAGTATCTCAGCTGGGAACTTTTAAGAAACTGGGATGAGGTGTTTACAGGCCTCAGAGTTTTCTGGCTTTTAATCACTGCTTCATCCAAGTTTCTCAAAACAAGGATACGGTCTAATCCAGCCTTTTGAAAGCAGACATAAGACGTCTGTCTGTGCACAAGATCAAAAATTCCGGCTTGAGCTGGACACCAGATTTCTTTTTAAAAACACATGCAAARTGGTCAAATTTAAAGCATATTGGAATTTTGCTATCATCTGGTATCTCTTTATTTTGCTGTGGCGATACTGCTGGATTAGACTGACTCCTTGGTGATTGATCAGGCTGTGTACAATGTGTGTGCACACAGTGTGTGTGTGAGCTGTGCTCTGAGGAATTCTTGCTCTTTAAACCTTAGACACAAGGAATCCACCCCCCCCCCCACACACACACATACACACACATCTCTGCACACATACTAGCTTAACTGTTATTGCAGACAGCTTTTATCTTTTTATTTTTTATTTTTAAGCGTGTCAGGACTCTGACGTGAAGACTTGCACAGACAGCAGGACCAGCTGGGGCACATGATCAAAGAGACTTGTTGCACTCCACGCTTTCACTTTAAATGTTCCCATGTATGGACACAAACACTTTGTGTGTGTGTGTGTGTTTTCCAGATCTTATGATGCCTTTCATTTCCTGCCCCAGTTCTCTCCATCAGCTTTTAAAAATTTCACTTTTTCTCACACAAGCCCATATTTACTGGAGCCGTGCCTCGAAATTTTAGTCGTTCCACTTTCTGTTACAAAATAACCGAACCGTTTCGGTGAAACATCTGTACACTCCTGGTGTTTGCACGGGTGGAACAAATGCTTCCGTATTTAACTAAGAAGATCCACAGTTTTAAGTTGAAGCGAAGCCTTTCTGTGTGTGCTCGGGGGGTGTGGCGGTGAAATGCTGGGTGGTCTAAGCTTAARAGCTGTAATGGCTTCTTTTCCACATAAAACCCATAGATGATTAAAGAATGGGCAGGTCTCTGGCATGCTGCTGCACCTACTGTATTTTCACCTGCACATTTAATGACAGGATGTGCACAGCTAGCCGTCCACAGAAAACAAAGCTAAAACTCTCAATCATCTGCACTTCTGCTGATCTTTTTAAGTGGCTGAAATATTTGGCCGATAGCTGAATTTCGTAGGAAGGACGTGAAAACAGACTCTGCTGAGGTCTGGAGAAAGACCTCCTGACTGCTCAAACGGCTTTAAATAAAAAGTCTTAAGGAAGGGCAGGGGGCCTCTTGAGGGTATTCCACAATGTTTTGTGGGCTTTTTCATTTAGCAAAATCCTATTCTGAGGAACTCTGCTCAACTTCAACTTAAACTGTTTACTTTGGATCTAATGGATGGATGTATTTTTTTATTTTTTATTTTTTTGAATGTGCAGTTCAGGCAGAATCACTTTTGTGTAAGTTGAATCCTAGTCTTGGAAATTTGCTGCCAGTTGTGGAACATTTTTGCAGAGATGTTCTGCCAAGAACCTGATTTATAAATATCCCCACCTTCAGGTACCCCCCCCCCCCAATCTGTCTCTATTTATTACCATTGGCTCTCTCTTTTTTCCCTCTTTTCTTTTCTTTTCTTTTCTTTTTTTTACAAAGCCTTCAAACTCATTTTCATTATTTATACCAGTACCACAACTTCTCTATTTTTTTATACCTATTCGAAAATTTTCTTTTTGTCATCAGTTTTCATCTGTATCGTTTTGAACCTACACAAGTTTATCTGTAAATATACATATTTTCTATTTTGTCAGACTATTTGAAGTTTAGCAGCGACTATAGTCATGCCGTGGTGGGGGGCACCAGTAGTGCCAGGGGAATGAGATCAGCCTCTGAGCTTCGGGATTTGATGGACACCCTGCAACGCAAGAAAATTGCCCTGGAAAACAGCCTGAGAGCTAATGGGAACGCTAACCCCTCCTACTTTAGTGTGACACAGGTCAGCTATCTTGCTCCCCCTTTACTTATTACCAAAAATTCCAAACATGGTTAATAAAAATGCATTCATTACCTGAGACATATTACAATGTATCAAGTATTTTTTTCTCTCCTAGTCTCCTCCCACCTCACCTGTTTCAACACCTGCCACGTCTTCATCATCCTATCAGGAACAGGCAAGGCGTTTCTACGGCTCTGATCGCCCACCTTTGTCTTTGAAATCTGCTCCCCCTCTTTCCTCTGGAAGACGATCTGACCCGTCTTCTTCCTCTCTGGCCTCACGCATCTCAGCTGGCCGAAGCCAGGACAACGGTGGCATCGCCGACAGCCGAAGACCGCACAATCTAGGCTCCTCCCCTATGCTGTCCACGTGGAACGGTGGAGGTTCCTCCACGTCGGTTGCTAGTACCGATAACCTCCTCCACCCTGTTCCCCCCTCCTCGTCATCCCGCGCTTCATCGGCAGGAGGTGCAGTCAGCATGCCCTCGAGCCCTCGTCTGGGCCGTCGGACCTATGGGAACCAAGAGCCAGCGCCCAGCGCCCGAACCAGGAAGTACTCAGCAGGGTCACTGAGCAGCATTACAGGGGGGCATAGCCGCTCGCTGCCACGCCTTTGCCCTTCCCCGTCTCTCCGCAGCGACAGCAACGGAACACTTTCTTTGTCAATGCTTCCTCCACGGCGGTCCGACGTTACAGGGGCTTACAAATTCAGCTACAGTCAGAACCACGAAGTCGGCCACAACCCCAGCAAATCCTTCCAGCAAGTGTCGAAGACCAGCACTCAGGGTGAAAGTGTTGTATCTATCTCCCTTTCTTCACCCAAGAGCTCCACCAGTCATTCCATCTCATCTACCCCTCCAGATGTGACCATCCCGTCCAAAGCTGGAGGCTCCTCTTCTCCTCGCGTCGCCAAAAAACTTAGCCTGGCCTCCACCAGCTCACTGGGCTCCATCAGCCCCACAAGTCCCGGCTCTCAGGAACCGGAGCGCCTGTCCAGCCAAGGGGAGAAAGACTCTATGGGAGAGAGGGAAAGACGAGGACTAGAGCTCACCTGTGGCCCAGGACTTGGGGAGCGGAGGGCTTCATTTGGGAAGGCAGGGCTTGAACCTGGGATTGGTCTGGGCGAGAGGAGACAGTCATTCAGTAAGACCGGGGTGACTCCGCCGGGGGGGTTCAGGGAGAGGAGAGGGAGCATCAGCTCGCTGAGCGGGAAGGAAGAATTAACAGATTATCATCAAAGACAGAAAGAAGAGAGACTTCGTGAGCAGGAGGTGGAGAGACTGGTGAGTTTCATGACTTTTAGATGTTAAGTTTATATTTAACAAGATTGCAGTGTTTACCTATGGTTTTATTTGATTTAAAGCAGGTAATTTATGTAAACCAAATACTACTGATGTGTGATTGCTTTAATATATTACAGCACTGGAATGCTTGGCCCTAGAATAACATTCTCTTTGGCCTCTCAGACATACTCTCCCAGGGATCTTAACACACACACACATAGTGAGGTTTACCACTCAACAGATGCTTATGGCAGCTAGCCCGTACTAACAGGACTATTCTTAACCTTGTGCTTGGATTGGGTGTGTGTGGGTGCATGTTTATGTCAGTCATCTGGAGGTCCGCCCGGTGCGGTTTGTACCACCGAGTGGCCACGAATCTCATCATTTAGATGTGGGTCAGGGAAACCAAGATTACAGAGTGTAGTGTAGCAGGTGGATAAACACACAAATGCACAAGTGAACTTGTAATTCAACGACTCCTCAGTCTTTATAATCTGCCAGCGTATTGTTAACTGTGAGAAATAGTTTTTAGATTCTATTCAAACCAACAGAATCCACATCATGATATCACTTCTCTTGTATTCAAATAATCTCAGTTAAACAGTGATTTGAGTTGAAATACTTCATTTTTAGCATTTTTAATGTGTTTTTAAAAAGCAGATGAAATAAAAAAAAGCTGCTTTTTAGTTTTTCTATTTCATAGGCTTTTTGGGCAGTCAACAAATGTCTTGACCTTTTCTGCCCTCTAGTGGTAATTTTATAAAACTGCAATCTTTATCAAACCATAAGTAGATAATAGTAGATAAAGAGATTTATTTTGCATTGAATTAAAGAGAGATTATTCACTGAATTTGTACAATAGTGAGGTTTGGTTGAGTGTCTGTTTCTTTTTGTAACTTATGTATTAGATCAATCAGTTTTTAGTGCAAYAAATGGATGTTTTAGTTCTTATCGAGAGAGGACTTCATGTTTTGAATGTTTCACAGCAAATGGTTCTGTTTTTAATTTCATCAGAAAAAAATCTATATTTYACACAAATACGACATGATGCAGAAAGCAGAATACAATTATTGAATCGCAAATCTTTTTATCCTCTGTGGGCCTGGCTACAGAAAGCACCAATTCCTATTTTTGCTTTTTCTATTTCTGTATATTTTTTCTTTCTTTTTTCCAGTCCTGTAATTTCCTTTTTCCCCCCCTTTTGGTATCTCAATTTTTTTTAGTCTTTCTGACATTCCGTCTTTTTTTTTAGCTAACAGTTGATCGTTTTGCATCTCCACAGAGGCTTGTGTTAATTAGAATAGAACAAGAAGAGGTATTACATTGTATAAGTGTGGTAATGTGTATGATGATGAAATCAGTTGTAATACATTCACAGGTTCTGTCATTAATGTTCAGAACACTCTCTATGTGCCATCATTTGCATGCAGTTAGTCTGCGATTTGTAGGAATCCTTTGCAATAATGATATTGTGCACTCTATTATAGTATTGATACATTGGTGATTATATTCTGCAGCCCTAGTATTGTTTTTCTAACTGATGACTAATTTTGAATAAATGCTTTCTAAAAGAGTTCTGCACAATTATGGGCTGAGATGACTTGAGATGATTTGAGCTTTATAATCTAGCACTGCAGTTGACTATTTTAATACTTTGATTCTCCGAACCCTTCCTGGTTTACATTCTTTCCTCGAGCGCACAGTGTCCTGGAACAAGTCTTGTTTCTTTAGCTGCGTTACAGACATTCCTGTGTTTGTAGTCGTGGTTTGTTTCCGACTGTAGCTGTCAGCTGTCCACCTCCTCATCTCTCTCTCTCTCTCTCGCTCTCTCTCTCTCTGTCGCTCACAAGTCCAAAGCTTCACTGTATCTAATATTACTTTCCCAGGCCTGTTGTGTGGCTCATATACTTATCTCACCAGAGGTATTAGAGTTAGGGGTCATTTTGACTCTCTGCAGCTTCCGTAACTCGCCACATATAGCTGTGCTCGGGAAACCCGAACTCTGGAAGGGGAAGTTCAGCTGTAAGGACACAAAGTGAGAGGAAATAGACTTCCTAAATATAAAAAATATATATATTTAGCTAGAATGTGTTAGTGATATGGAGTAGGAACAGTGCTGGGTTTAAAAGAAATAGAGTTGTTGACTTCTTCAATGCTTTCCCAGGTAATCCTCATGTTTTTTTAGTAGGACTGTTATTTTTTTGTTTTGCTTTGTTGAAATGTAGCTTGTACTAATGCTGCATCTATATTTGTGTGCTCATCTCAGGAAAGGCAGAGGCTCGAAACCATCTTGTCTCTTTGCTCTGAGCTCGGCCGGACTGAAAGCGATGGCGGCGGCTCAGCTCCGAGTTCAACCGTAGCCGTCGCAAACCTTCAGAAGATCAACCAGGAGCTAGAGAAACTCCAGATAAATGATGACGATGACGACGACGATGACGCGCCATCCGTGTTTTCGGACTCTTCTGCTGTTAACGGGACGTCAGGGAGGAGTCACACGACCTCCCCTGCGTCAGAGAACAGCTACTACGATGATGAGCTACAGGTACGGCGAAGGCGCAGCAGTGGACACTACAGAGCTGAATCACCTGTTGTCAGCCTGCGGGGCTTTGCCCCCTCACCTGCTCCACGGCCACACAGGACCAACGAGGTACACCTCATTCTTCCTGAAAATTGACATTTAGCATTATATAGCATTCCTTTAGCCTCTAATATTCTTTCTTCAATCTAACAAATATTTTAGATGCTTTTGTATACAAACTTCTAATGTATTATTTTCCTATCACTTTGTTTCATTACCTAACTTTTACAAAACAACAGGGGGTTGAATTGAGCCTGAACAGCAGTAATGGGAGTAGAGCCACAGATTAAAGTCTCACCAACAGATAGTTGGTTATATAAATAATTTCAAGTAGCTGCCTTATCTTTTATTTACACCCTTTGATTGATTTCATCAGTCAGAATTAAATAAGAAATAGGTTCTTTTTTTTTTTTCTCCAGAAAACATGACAGCTGCAGGGTTTGATACGTAGAAACCCAGATGGAAGATATTTACAGCTCATTTATTAGATTACAGCAGGCCAGGTGTCATCGTCTGTGATGGTGTACGCTTGCTTGTAAATGCCGAGGTTTGTCTAAAAAATAAAATTAATCTCAAGTCAAAAAGAAAAAAAAACTGAAGCAGTAAATATTTGAGCTTTTATAAAAAATTTCTATCTGAGAATTAAGTCAATATTGTACAAGCAATACAAAGTTTGATTTTTTTCACGGAGAATACACAATTAACTAGACATGGGTTTTTACGATGTAAAAACAAGTGTGCATTGCCATGTAGCATGTCATTGCAGCACGGCTTTGCCTGCAGCATTGGACTTKCAGAAGGAACTTTGACCAAGTTCAAATGTGTTTTCTATACCAGCTTGTGCCTGCCACATCAGCATGTGTTTGTAATTAAGGTAATTGTGTGACAATATGAAGTTGGAGGAGATTTTTTTGTTAAAGTTGCATTAGCCGGGTTTTGAACCCTGATCTCCCACATGAAAGTCCATGACATAGACCATTAGACCAATGGAGCTGTGGTAGAAGGTGGTGGCAGGGGTTGGTTTGTATGTGTGCAGAACGAGGCCACATTGCCAATACAATTATTGACACAAAAATGCATAATATTACAACAATAGAGCAGTATTAAAACAATATTATAGTAAAACATCAAAATACAATCATATTAGTATTGTAAACACTGAACTATTGAGATTAAATATAAAAAACTATGGTGCAGTACCAAGTTGAGTACAGCTGGGGGGCAGTATTGGACCATTACAAGGCCCCATTGACTCTCATTATATGAATTTGGAATAAAGTTTAAGCATTAACATTTCAAAAACTACAAGTTGTACAGGCACCAAAAGGCATAACAATCATTTGGCACAGGACCTTTACAGATRGAAATTACAATGGCAGCTCAAGGACAAAGTATGCAGGAGGAGAAGCATGGCAAAGTTGAGATGACTTGGATGGGAAACGAATCACAATAGTGTGCATTGCATTGGCAATGCACACTGATTACACAACATTATTAAATTATATTGCAGATTACTAAAATTACAGTGCATTACAGTGAACGTACAAAACTGCTGGGCTATTCAACTGGCGGCCTGCAGGCCGTGACTTCCATCCGGCCCGCCAATAACCCTCCACCCCCACCCCCAAAACATTTTTGGTTTTATTTTATTTGCATTGTATTTAATATAAAAATAGCATTCAAATAATTTGTAAATTTAAATTTTATGTTTCAATGCAATGAAATAAATAAAAAAGGTAAAAGATAATACTTGTTCTGTTACAYGCTGYAGTGTTTCACCTACCGTTACTGGCCCMCGAGCTGTGGGGTTCGAGTAACCCCGGGCCCCGGACCGATTTAGTTGAATAGCCCTGCAATACTGAATTGTGTAATTTTATAGCCTTTTTCAAATAATTTTACCGTATTTGTTAAATATGTTTGCGGTGGTGTTTCCAGGTTGCAGAAGATGCAGCTTGCCGCTCAGTGCCCTCAGAGGAGGAAGTGAGGCATGTTGAGGAGGAGAGGATTCAGGTGCTGAATAACATCGAGGAGCTGGAGCAAAAAATCAAAGAGCTGGACAACCAAGTGGAAGAATCTGCCCGAGAGGTTAAAAACAAAGTCTAGATAAAGCCTGTGTATTAATTAAAGTTTAGCATTGTGTAAAACGTTTGTCAAAATACATAGAAAAATCTCAATTTTCAATCTCTTCACTCGTCTTGTTTTTTTTTTTTTAAGGTGGAGGTTGAGCGAGTGCTGGTCGAGGCTGAGCAAGAGTCTGAAGTCGCGGCTCTCGAGCAGGAAAAGAGTGCGTTGGAAGCACTTCACAACAAAATGGAAGAACTGGAGACAAAGTCCCAGCAGGAAAAAGAAAAGGTACGCAACTTTTCTTAACTTTAGTAAAATATCATGTAGGACACGTAAATTATTTCACAGATATTTGTCCTGAAGATGCTTTTTCTGTAAAATATAAAATGCTGATTAAATCATAATATCGCAGTTATTAAAGCCCTTAATCAAACACAAAACTTTTTAAAGAATTGCACCTATGGTATATGGTATCGGAAAATATATAGGCGACCCAGAGRCCCTCTTATGTAGCGTCATGTGACCGGCCAGTAGGTGTTAATCTCTTTCATGCTCTCTCTGGTCCAAATATACATCTGCTAATACTACCCAGGGTGCATCAGTCACCAAGGGCTCCTATGTGACTACCAGATGTGTACATGCCTTTTAATGTTTATACCACCGAATGGTACCACTAGATGGGAGGCGTAGGTGGATATGTTGTAAGTGTACATTTATAAATCAGCATCGTGGTTGGAATGAGTCATGGTTAGACGTAGCCACAGTTATTGTGTAGATGGTGAAACTGGATCAAAATACTGACAGTGAGGGAAAGATGAAGAGAAAGACCAGAAAACATTGAAAACARCTGYTTATTAACAGATTAAGTTAGATGAGTTGTGCGTATGTAGTTCCTTGTGTAGGTTGTTGTGTTTAAAGAAAGGAGTGCGTTAGTTAACCCTCAGCTGGGCCATTCCACGTGTCCCCGATTCCCTTCCCACCCATTCCTTCAATAATCTCCATTTAAACAAACTGGACTGCAGGGCGCAACCCCACTCCATATACACCCTCCTAATTCCTTTAACCAGCCCTTCATTACTCTGCCACATTGTTTTCTGCCCTTTTTTTTCCTCCCTCCAGGCTGGCCATATCAMCCTGGACCACATAGTAACTAACTGTCAACCCTCCCCCACAGTCCCCACTAACTCAGCCATCCTCTCTCTGTCTTGTGTGTGTCTTTGTGCTTGTCTTTGTATCGACATGTGCACATAAACCAAACGTGCACATGGTGTAAATGTGGTGCGGGGATGTGCGAACATGTGTACATGTGCATGTACCAGGCAGGCGAGTTGCTGCAGGCAGAAAGGGGCAGATTAGAGAGGTTGGCTCAGATTGTGTGTGAGCAGCGCTCTCAGCTGGACAGCTGCCCTGAAGCCACCAAGGAGCCCCTGCAGGAGCAGCTAGCCAGGGTCAGTACACACACACACACACACACACAAACACACAAACACACACACAATTCAAAATTTGCACAAGTGTGTTAGCCAATAAATCCATGCAGAAAATATTTAAAATATCTGGGGGATTGCATTAGTGTTACATAAACATGAATGTGGGAAGGTGTTAGAGGCTGAGTTTTTATATAAAAAGACACATTATGTTTGCATACTTTAATGCAAGTTTTCTGAGCAAAATGCCCCCCAACTTCCCTGCGATCACGCTCAAGTTTCACCTCATACAAGTTTTCTTTTCACACTTTCTAACACTGCTCTTTCCCTTTTTCGCACATCTCGTTCTTTAAGAGCAAAATAAAACGAGTTGGAAGTAAAAAATGTCTTAAATACCATTTTGATACATTTAGGCTTTAACGTTTGTGTTGTTTATTACTTATTGTTAGGGACACAGCTTTTTATAATCAGTCTGGATTGTTTAATATTTTACTGGTGTCAAAAGTATACACATTCAAGCAGAAGTGTAGATATTTTTAAAAGACTTCTTTAGAAGTTGAAGTAGCAACACAAGCTTTTTACTCAAGTAAAAAGTTAATTTACCGTATGTGGGAGGTGCCATATATCTGGACAGATTTATTTTTCTTCTTTTGAACAGAGATGAAATAAAATACAACGAAATATTTCTTACATTTTTAAACTGTAAAGAGTAGAAAGTACAGATAATTGAGTGAAATTGTAAAGAGTAGAAGTAAAAAGTAGGTTGAAATATAACTACTCCGGTAAAGTATAAATAATCAAAATTTCTACTAAGTAACAAAGTATTTGTACTTTATTACTTGACACCTCTGCTTTGCTGTCTATAGGTTGTTAGAGATGTTTATATCTGTTTTATTTTTTGATTTATGTTGCACTGAAATGAAAAGAGTAGGACAGAGTTTATGGTCTAAATCGGTGGTTCCCAAAGTTGGAGTCACGAAACATCAAGATGAGGTCTCTGCTGCCGTTATTTTGTGGGTCAAAAGCTGAAAAGTTTGGGAAACATTGCTCTAAAATGTCCAAAATAATGTCCTAATCTTAATCCAGTAAAATTTAAATAAAAGAACCTAAAGATAAGACAGCAAACTGACGTCCAGGACTGATGAACATTAACTTAACATTATCGCTCCATACTCACAATAAACATGTGTATGTCCATTTACCTCCTATAATAAAAACAGATTTTCTTTTGATTTATTTTTAGGACTTTTAATTAAATGCTTTTATAATTAAATGCTTTTAATTAAATGCTTTATATCAAATGATTGCAAAATGTCTTCAGGTGTCATTTGTCCACTGTTAGTTCATTTGTATAAGTCTTGATGTATTTTTTCCTTGGCATTATTTGTGCGTGCGTGCGTGCGTGCGTGCGTGTGTGTGTGTGTGTGTGTGTTAGGACTGTGAGGTGCTCGAGGCAGAAACAAAGCGTTTTGAAGACCTGGAGTTTCAGCAGTTGGAACAGGAGAGCAGGCAGGACGAGGAGAAGGAGACTCAAACGCAGAAGCTTCTCCGGGACATCGCAGACTACCAACGCAGCACCGTCACTCGCAAAGTAACAAATCTGTTGTTTGAATCGCATGCTTAACATTTCACCTGAACAGCATCACTTTAAAAAATAACACTTTTTTTTATAATTTTTATCAATTATCGTAAGTTCTCTGTATAAAAATCCATGTTAGTTGATCTGATTTTACAGCACTTGTTTGGGTCAAACCTTGATTTAATAAGCTTATAATCCTCCTTCAGGAGCACCTGTTGACTCTGAAGAAGCAGGCAGAGCAGATCACCCAGCAGGCCGAGCGAGAGAAGGAGAGCTTCTTGAAGGAGAGGAGCAACCTGGATTCAATGCTGCAAAGAGTACGAAGAGATCCATGTGTGTGAACACAAAGAGAAAGGTTTTGATCTTTGTGTAGTTTTTCAGAGCTGCTGTTCTTCTGTCTGTTAGGAGAAAGAAAACCTCGCTTCACTGGAAAGAAAATACTCTGACCTCACCGGCGGCTGCAGTTTCACTTTAAGGGAGGTACGTTTGATTGACGAGGTGCATTTCTTCTCTTAGAGCTTCATTAAGGCTCTAAAAGTGAGTGAAATCCTTGTGGTGTAATCGTTTGGATCTCCTTCTCTGCCTGCTAGGACTCAGCCTCTTTGGCTGATGTGTGTCAGTCACTCCTTTGCTCTGTTTTTCTCAAAAACTCTGAGGTACTTCTGTCTCGTTTTCCTCATAGTTCAGATTCACTTTTGATTTCTCTCTTCCTGCCCTTTTTGATTTATTGTTGTAACTACCTGTTATAATAAATTCARTGCATACTTCATTAATTGTGAGCACAGCTTACTTCACATTATTCCAGAGTTAATCTTTAAAAAGTGTGTTTTTAACAGTGCTGTGTGTAAGTAACATGTTCCTGTAAAGTTCTGCAGTATTCTAATAACTAATTTTCATGTTTGACATTAATATGGCTGACTCACTCCATGCTCTGCCTCACCCTTTCTCTGTACCTTGTTTCTCCTCCTGATACCTTCCAGGGCTATGTCACTGTCAGTGAAATCAGTGAGCTTTACTCACAGCTTGGGCAGGACCCTAAACCTGCCCCTGCCCCCTCTCTGGCCAAAGCCACTGCTGAGCTCGAGGTAAACCTTTCCCCCGATGACGACACCCCCAAATCGGCGGAGGATGAGGTGTGTGTAGTGGTGTGAAGGTGGTTTTTTTGTGTAGTAGATGCAGGCAGATGATGGGAGAGTTTTTTTCCTCAGCTTCTTCTACAGTGCTTCCTCCTTTTATGCTCTTTCTGTTTTCTTACAGCTTTTCTTTCTTTCTTTTTTTTCAAAGCTCTGTCATTCTTCACCTGCTGACTGTCACTCCTCCTCCCTCTCTTCTTCTTCTTCATCTTCCTCTCATTTAAATTGTCGTCCCCTCCCCAAAACACCCTCTGTGCACTGGCCAGAGAACATGGTATCCTATCGAGACCCTTCCCCGCTCCCCGACTCCCCCCCACCTCCTCTTCCTGTCAAAAACCATCATCAGCGACACAGGCAGGTAACGTGTGTTGGTCAGAAACTTTGGGTCTCTTTTTAGGAAAGACACTTAATATTCRGATTTAGTTACTATATACATATTTTTTTTATTATTATTATTTATATATTCAATTTAAATTATGATTTTGACAAATTTCAGTGGAATAAAACACTTGCAGCATGTGTTGTTGCTTATACATTTTTATTCTACCACTAGATGGCACTAAAGTAAATTTAAATCTAAATTTTACACGCTGGAAGACGTTTTCAGAGCTGAAGGGTAAAACCACTAAATAGAAATACACGGGAATGGACAACWAAAGCTCAGTCTGTGCTAATGAGGTCAGAATTTGCCATCTTACTAGGTGCCACGTGGCACCCTGAATTACTGCCAGATGACATCAGAACATAAAAATCTCAGGAAAAAAAACTGGTTATAGAAACTGCACTTCAGCAAGCATGACATCATTTCATAAATCACAGAAAATATGACCTTTTTTTGTTTATTATATCCCTATATTGTCAGAAAATTTTTCCTTAATCAATATATATATGATGTAGTGATAATTTACTCCTAATTTTAATTCTTAGATAAATCTAGATCTCCCAGAAACATGAGTAATTGTGTAGAACTAGAACACATGTCAAACACAAGGGTGACTTGTGTCTGCGCCCCCCCTCAAAAAAATATACAGTATATTTACATATTTTTTTACTTAATATAAAAGTTTTATTTATATCTATGTTAAACTTTAAATTTATTATTAAATGTAACAAAATAAATACAATTAAATGGTGAAAGATAATACTTGTCGTGCCCCTGAGCTGTTGGCTTTAAGTGAGTGAGGAAAACTCCCTTATGTTTACTTTTAATAGTATTTCTGTTTTATTTATTTCACACTTAATCAGTCTTAAACATAGACACAGAGCACCTGTTCTCCTATGTTTATGTTCTGTCTTCTTCTGAATGGGTGTTCTGAACTGTAATTTCATTGTGCTCTGTACAATGACAATAAAGGTCTAATCTAATCAATCTAATCTAATCTAATCTAATCTAAAACACTGTTTCTATATAGGAAATGCTACATAGAGCTCAGTTTTTGCTGTGCTCAGCTGTAGCAATGAGACAACGAACATGATGTTTTGTGTTTAGTTGAACATGAAACGTCAAAGTTAATTACATCTGGTCTCAGAGGGCCACCATAACGCTCGTGTTGCCCTCGGTGAAAAAGAGTTTGACACCACTGAACTAGAAGATCATGCCGTTTCAGCACTTTTTAGTCCAGAAAACTGACAGGAAGGCTGACTAATAAAAATCTATAAAAGTTGCACTGCATGGTGTAAAACAGCTTCATCAGAATAAATGTGAGTACCAGGTACATTTCTTCTCTTGAACTTGTCCTTAAAAACTAAACTGATATAGTTAGTGTGAAACAGACAAGTGAAAGAAGACTATACATAAAATGTATATTACATTAGTAACAGTCTTAAAGTACATAAATTAGAATAACAAGCTAGTTTACTTATTAAATGAGTAAACTACTGCACATCTGCTAAATAATAGTGATGGGACTAATGACAATGTAAACAACACAGTGACACAACTAGCACCTAGCAAGATGGTGGCCACGATCCTTGCCTAGCACCTTTAGTGGCAATCCAGTGTATTTCTATTTTAGCGTGCATAACCTATAGTAAACAATAACAAACTCATGTTTCTTTTCTATTGTTTCACCTAATTAGCATTTCCGTTTGCTGGAGGAGAGGAAGCGGTCTGAGAAAGACGGTGGGTCACATTTGAGTGACACTTTACCCAGGAAGAAAGGCACTGTAAACCCACAGTTCATGTGCTCGACACTGGGCCGCAGCTTCCAAACCAAGGTGTGTACATGTACACAAACTAGGGTACTTTGTTGTTCTGTGAATGGCTTCTTTCGTCAGTCCTGACTTTTAGCTGTACTATGAAGTAAAACTGTGTTTGGTTCTTCGTAGACCCATCAGCCTCTGGTACAAAGTACAAGCTGTGGCAGCATTCTTCCAAGAATACTTTCTTTGTCCAACAAAGAGAGCGAACCTCGACGTCTGCATAAAGGTACACAAACAAAACCTGCCTATAAACCATAAAAACCAGTCACTAAAATATGTCTACACATTTGCACCTCCTTTAAAAGAATCATCTTGGCTGTTTATTTTTGATTAACAAAAAACACAATCTTGTAACTCTTGTAGACACTTTGTATGTACTGTAGTAGCCGTGTTATTTGTTTTATTTGTGGGTGTTCATGTGCGGTTGTTTAGGGAAATTACACTGTTGCTCACTTGTTTATCTGTGGCCGAAGATAGTGGAGGAATGTGTTTACAAGGCTACTCCTTGGTTTGTTGGTTAGCTAATGGAAATGTTTCRTTTGTATTTATTTAATGAATTCACAGTCAGAATTAGATTTTTTATGTCTCATTTTTTGTCATCTGGACAGTATTTTTACTCATTTTAGAGGAAACTTTAATTGTGAGTAATATACACGTTATAGCGACTAGCATAACCAAATTGTTCATCTTTCAGGAAGTTATTGCAGACCTTTTATAAGATATCTAAATCCTGTGGGTAGTGGAGTCTTTGGCCTGTTGCGTTAATAGCACATTTATTTTCTTGAAGTTGTCACGTGAATCTGGTCCCTGAGTCCCTTTGGTCCCTTGATCTGGCTCATCTGATGGGTGGGTCTCCTCTATGGGACTGATGGTATCAGGATTTGGTGCGTGTGCCTCTTCCTGTACTAAGAGTCTAGTTAGACTCTCTTCAGAGTATCTGTAGTCATTTAGTCATCATCCTTCCCAGGATATTTTTTTCTCCGGACTTATTCGGATCTTTTATTCTAATTTTAGAACTTTTATTGTACTTTTTTGGTGGGCATTTTTTACGCCCTGCTTAGTGGGATTACATWTATAGGTTGGTGTAATTTTGTATTTATTTATTTTTCTGGGACGTGTCAAAGCACATGTCACAGTGGCGGGGCATTGTGAACAACATTTAAAGCAATCTGGGCAAACTGTCCCAGAAGAAGCATCAGAGACAGGTATAACACACAGGTGCACATAAGCAGTAAAGGTAATGTTAGTAGCAACTAATGCTTCTGTTGTATTTTTAGGTCAGTCAGGCTCCAGAACAGCCTCCCAGACAAATGTCTACCTTGATGCCTTTGGGTACCGTGACAACCAGGCCTTTGACACGATGAGTGTGGACAGCAGCGACTCCATCGAAACCAGCATCTCTGCTTGCTCACCTGACAACGTCTCCAGGTAACTGTTTAGCATTCCGACCTACTCTGGAAAATTCTGGATTTCACTTTGAATTTTTTCTACATCTTAAATCAGATTTTAGAAAATAGAGTATAGGAAAACATTTGTTTACAGACTTTGTTTACTTTTCTAAAAATACACAGATTTTCTAAAAAATAAAAGCTCAAACATTGAAGTGCTTTTCAGTTTTAATAAATATAAATTGTGAGTATAAAGTAT